ATCATTTGTGCTGCCCATCACCAGGACACGAGACATTTCTGAGGCCAATGGACTCCAGAGCTGTCCCTGCTGCTGGGAAATCACTGGTCCCAACAGAAGCCTCAATTACCCTTGCCTTGGGAAGGGATTAGACACGGAGATGCTCAGCCAAACACCTCCAATCTGTCTGTCCCGAGGAATTCCCAGCCTTCCCTTGATTTCCCTGCTCAGACTGATCCCTCTATGTCCAGGCCCAGCCTCTGCCCCCGGGCCGAGTCACACCAGACACGAGGCAGCACATGGCAGGACAGTGGCACTGCCCCGGGGCCGGGGTGATGTTCAACCCCCCAGATATGTCCGTCCACATCAAAGCCTCTGCTGCGCTCACCAGCTCCCATTCATCCTCCGGGAATGTTTGTGAGCTGGAGCCGCCGCTGGTGTGCCCATGCGCTCATGGGGAAGGTCCCTGGGGATGTTCCCAAGGCTTCCTGAAGCCCAGAACATCCCCGCAGGATGCTGCCAGCACAAGGCGGCGATGCGGAAGGATCAGAGGATGACGAGGGAGGGAGGGAGGCTCGGCAGCTCCGGGTCACCTCCGCTCGCTGCCGCGGGCGACGGGCGCTGGGCGAGCCCTGCACCGCTCGGCAGCTGCAGATTCCTGCCTGTCCCACCCCCTCCTCCGCAGCCTTCCCGGGCACCCCTTCCCCGCAGGGCAGCGCCAGCCAGACAGCCGGGATTGCTCAATGGCAGCGGCAAGTCGCATCGCGTCCCGCGGCTGGCAGGGGGACCGTGCCCGGCCAGCCCCGCTCCTTCCCGGCTGCGACAGCTTCCACATCTGGGACTGCTGGGCTCTGCCCGGGGCAGCGCTCCGTGAGGTGTGCAGGGCAGAAGGAGGAGGAAGAGGAGGAGCCCAAGAGCTCCTTCACCTCACAGGAGCCTCACAGGCTCCTTCACGGGAGCCCTGTCCTCACCTGTCCTCCCCGTGTCCCCCCTCACCCCTCCGTGCCCAGGGAAGTCCCCGCACACGAGGACTCCAGGGCTGCCCTCCCTTATCAGCCCGAGCTGTCCCGGTGCCAGCTGCAGTTTCCAAAGGCGGAGAGGGAAGATTAGGATATTTAGCTTTGAAATCAAACAAATAATTGCACAGGCTTTCTGCAAACAGATCAGGGTTGGGAGGTCAGAGAGCAGCTGGTAAATCTCAGCACTGTTTGCTCTGCCTAAATAATATTAGACCAAGAATAATCAATCATTTTAATCAACAAAATTATTTATAACTCTTTAGAGCAAACAGTCAACTTCACTGGCAGCTGCCAAAAGATGGCAGGTAACGATCCACATGTGTCCAATTCCCCTGTGTGGTTATGGATTGGCTCCTTTGCATCCCTGGATTTACTTGCCCCCACAAGTGCCATGACTCTCTCTGAGGGTGCCCCTGGCCAGGCTCACAAGCATACACTGAAAAACACACAAATACACCCAGCAGCCCCCTACAGCTGAAACCCCTCTCCCCCAGGGCAGCTCACAGCAGTCACTACATGCTCCAAGCACCTTCCCATGTCCCAGTGCAGCTGCATCTCCCAGGGAGGGAGGGAGGGAGAACCTGCTGGACAGGAGAGGGAGAAGGTGCTCCTTCTGCTCTGCCACCTGAGCCAGCCCCATCTCCTCAGCTTGTGGCTGTGCTGATGGCACCACCTGACCCCTCCACGGGCACCACTCATGTCCCACACTCTGCACATCCCCCAGCGCCGGGCAGGCTCCGCACAGCAGCAGATGATCCCAGCAGCCACAACAGGACAGAAACCTTTTCCTGGCTGGGTTGGAAGCCATGAAAGCCAAGGGATTGCTGAGAGGAGAACAAGAGCCATCTTCTCCTTTGGGACCAGGAGGGAACCAGGACAAGGCCATCCCTGGATGCTCCTGCCAGCCCTGCACCATTTCACCTCCCTGTCCCCTGTCCAAGCTCAGCTCCCCCAGTGACAGAGGCCAGGAAGGGCCTGGGAAAAACCTGGGAACCAAGGTTCTGCAGCCCACGCCAGCCTCAGGAACAGTGGTGCCAAAGTAATTTCATTTCACAATTTCCCAGGAACAGTTCTCCTGGTTTTATTAATTTTTAAGCAGACAAGAAAAGCAACAAAGGGGATTTTCCAGGAGAGCCCCAAGATTAATCATCTCCATCCCAGGCTGAGCACAGGGCTCCTGGGCTTTGCCCAGGTGTGTTACACCATGCAACATTCGGGTTTCCAGTATCCTCAGGCACAGGAGTGAGGGTTTTCCCAATCCCCAAGAAGTTCTTCTTTTCCAGCTCCTACTTCTAGGAAGCTTCCCACCAGGGAAGGGACCAGTGCAGGGATTGGGCCAGACCAAGCCCTGGGAAGATGAAGGTGGGAGTGAGCTGGAAAAGGCGGCCAAAGACGGGCTGCCCCATCAGGCTCAGTCCTCCCCATCGCAGAGCCAAGCGCTGTCCAGGACGGGATTATGTCAGCTCCTGGCCTCAGCCGGGAAGAGCGAAGGGCAGGCAGGGATAAATGCAAACGGCTGGAGGTGCTCGGATCTGCCCAGAGGAAGCCTGAGCTTGGAAACCTCGGGTGAGGGCACGGGGAGAGAGGCTGAGACACTCCCAGGCCTCGCATCCACCCCGCGAAGCATCCGGAAGCTATTAAGGAATTACAGCCTCCCTGGCCCCGAGCCCTCCCCGGCAGAAGTGCCTGGGAGCAGATGGTGAAAGGGCTGATTGAATTCGGCTGCTCACGCCAAGAGGCTCTTTAGGAGACACTCAATGGAGGAGGGGGTGGAGGGGGCGGCATTTGGGACTCGGGAGCTGGGAGCCCTTGCCAGGAACTCCAGGAATCCTCCGTCAACCCTAAAGAGGTTGGAGGAGCTTTGGCAGTGACTTGGATGTGTGGTTTGAGGGGTGTGAGATTCCCCTGGGAGCTTGGCCCCGAGCTCCTGGTGCTCCAGGAGTGTCTCTTCAGTGATCCAAGGCTGGTTCCTCTCCCTTCATCTCCAAGGGCACCATGCATTGGACCAGCTCCCTTCCAGGGATGTGGGATGGCCCCAGGAGCTGTGGGATCTCAAGCCTTGATCTCAGCTGAGGAGGAGGCACAGGAGCTGTCAGCCCAACAGACCTGCCCATCCCCAGGGCTTTCCTCCCAGAAAAATGCTGGTTTGTAAAGATCCTTAATTCCCAACTTGGTGTAATCCCACCCCATTCCCACACTGGGTATGGGATCAGACCTCCCAAAGAGCCCTCAGAGAGAGATGGAACTCCAGTTACTCTGGATGGGGAGGAGGTGGGGTAAAAAGACCAGGATGAGAGAAATGCAGGATGAAAAAGAGCCAACAGGAGGGGGAAAAAAAAAACAAAGGAAAAATGTGCTTCGAAAGTCGTCCTCGGTGCCAGCCCTCCCGGGGGTGCTGCCAGTGCCCAGGCAAAAACACAGACGGAGGAACCAAAATTGCCTGGGGATGAAGGAAGGGTTTAAACCCTCCCTGGAAAGTGGAGGGGAAGAAAAGGAGGAATGCCCCAAAAACCAACATAGCCCCAAGCTCTGGGCTCCCTGCCCTGCCAGCTGGCTCCAGCTCCCCATTCCCTGTGTCCCAGGGGGACAAGGTATCGGCTCCGAGGCCCCCGTGCCATCCCCGAGTCCATGCCTGTTTTTCCAAGGGAGAAAGCTGCAGTGAGTCCCCCCGGGATCCTTGGCCGGCTGCCCGAGGTTGGGAAATCGGGAGCCTGGTCAGGCTCTGCCGGAGGGGCCGGCACGGAGCGCTCCGTGACCGTCAGGGGATCTTTGCGGAGCAATCTTTTCCGAGACAAGTCATGAGATTATTTCTTGCCTGGAATTTGCTCCCGCAGCTCCCATCGGCTCCGGACTGCTGAGTCAAGAGACCGCCGGGGCTGTGCCCTCCAGATGAGTAAATAAATTGCCATGGGGAGTGCGGGGGGCCGGGGGGGCTGGCGCCCGGCGGGGCGCGGGATGGGGCAGGGAGGGGACCCGATGACTCCCGAGCCTTGGGCTGGGGATGGATCCCGGCTTGGCAGCCGCGCATAGAGTTAGTCACCAGATTAGCGAGCAGTTACACACGCGGCTTAAAGGCACATCATCCTCCCCTTCCCTTCCCTTTCTTCCTTTTCCTCCGGGGCCTTATCCCCCTTTTCCCTTCTTCTTTTATTTTTGAAATTTCTTTCAGCCGAGCTTTGGCTCTCAGTGAGTGGCAGAGCCGGGCAGCCCGACAGCCACGGAAGGCAGAAGCCCCTGAAGACGCCAAAGGGGGGGAAGGGTCCGGCCCGGGGGTGACACAGTTCGGGGCAGCCCCTCCTGATCCCTCCCCTCCCCATCCCGCAGCGCCCCTCCGCCGGGCAGTCGGGTCACTCTATAGGATCCATATGGCCCCGGCTGCTCCGGGCTCGGCTGCTTGGAAGCAAGAGTGGTGCGAGTCATCCCGCTCGAAGGCAAACAGGCGCAGGGCCGGGGCCTTTCATGTTCCGGCCTTTGGAGCCAAATTCAAATCTGGAGCCGCTTAAAGGGATGGAAAGAGCCCCAGCGAGGAGCGGCCCCGCCGGGCCGCGGCTACCGGGACAGCTCCGCATCCCAAACCCCGCGGCTGCCGCTGGAAAGGGAAACCTTCCCAGCCTTCCCAGACCCCACTGCTGCCGCTGGAAAGGGAAACTGTCCCAGGCTTCCCAGACCTCGGCACAGCCCCGAACATCGAGCCCGAACTTCCTGGCAGCCCTTCACAAGGATGGGCTTGGGAAATGCCGCCGATGCTGCTCCCAACCTCCGGGCTCCTCTGCTGCCCGGGGCTGATGCCAAGACTTGAGCAAAGGAGTTTTTCCTCATTTCCAGCTGCAGAGCAGGAGGAATTGCGTTTGCTGACCTCATGGAGCAGTCTGAGGGATGGAGCAGTTGGGTAAAGTGCCTCGAGCACTTGAAAAGAGAAAGCTCTTGGCATTGCATTTTCAAACCGCTTCTAACAATAATGAGTAAAAAAAGAAGGGGAAAAAAAAAAGGACCCAAATTTCACGTGTCCCACTCCATCTTTTTTTAATTTTCCAGTGGAAAAAGCCAGGACTACTCAGCTTTTGCAAGTTGTTTCTTCAGAGGGTTCAGGTTTCGGTAAACAATTGCTCAAAACTAAAAGGTAAGAAAATAAAAATCCCCTTTTCTGCTCCCAGAGCAGTGACCAAAATTCAGTGGCTTTGCACAAACACATGCAGGCACCTCTGAAAAAAACTTTCATGTGGGTTAAAAAGCCACAGTTTGATTATTGTGATAAAATGTGCTGACAACGGGGGGTAAACAACAGAAAACAACCCCAAAGCACTGCCCAGTGTCCAGCTTCAGCTTTTGGGCTCTGCTGGTGGCAGTGGCAGCTTCCCTGAGTGAGCAGGGTTATCCTGCAAGGCCATGCCAGGAGAGGCAGCACCCCAGGGGGATGGCAGAGAGCCCATCCTGCCGTGCCTGACACTTGGTTCCCGAGGGATGCTGAGCCTGCCCCAGTCTCCCAGCACCCCCAAACTGGGAATTCCCGGGGGCGGGGGGTGGTCAGGGCCTGCCTGCTGCCGGGGAGGAGCAGGGATGAGCTGGGCACTGGAACAAGAGCATAGAGAGTGGGAATCCTGCAAGCAGAGGGAGACCTGGAGCACCCAGCTGAGGATGCTCCCACCTTCCTGACGTGGCAGAATGGGAGTGCCGTGCCTCAGTTTCCCTAAAAAATAAGGTCTCATCAAACCTTTTCTCAACATCTTTTGGGGTGCAAGGCCCCAAAGCTTTAGAAATAAGCTTTTAAAGAAAAGCTGAGTGCCTGGACTGCCTTCTCCTGCACTCCCCACCAGCCATGAGAAGAATGCCTTGGAATCACGTCAAGTATTTGAGATGAGGTGGGGGGAGAGAGAGGGGCACGGCGAGGGGAGAGGGGGAGCTTTTGACTCAGTGTCTGGCTTCTTTCATCAATCCCACATTCCTGCTCATGCCATCACCCTCCGGGAAAGTGCGACAACCTACAGAACCCATGTGGAGCCAATTTGGAATCCCCTCCGTGTAAGAAAATGCATTTTGTTCATTAACAAGCTCTGGATGCTTAGCTGGGGTGAGGAGGCAGCCCCACAGCCATCCCACAAACACAGGATTCAGTGGGAAGATATCCTACACACATCTACAACCCAGAGGAGAGCAGTGCTCCCTGCACTCCCTGCCAGGACATTGTTCCAGCCCAAATAACCCCGGGGTTCCTGCCCCAGCCACCTGAGCTGGAGGTCTCTGTCTCTTCTGGCTTTATAGGAAAGGTTTAAACATGAGGAGAAAAGCTGGAAAACAGGGAATTGCTGGAGCAGTTATTGCTGTTGTGCCCAGCAGCAACTGGGAGATGAATGAATGGGAATTCCAGCCCCAGAGCCCAGTTCAGAGCCAGACAGAGCCCTGTGACTTTGCACATCCCAATCCACAACCAGGGCTGTCACAATGACTCCAATCCTCATTCCCAAAGCAAAGGGAGCCACAGAAAGGAGGGGATTTTCCTCTCTGGGAAAGCAAGCTGCTGTTTCTCTGTGTGTTTGTGATATTTCTCTGGCAGGTTATATTTATCCACGAGCTCCAGGAACCAGATGTGGGATCGAGGGGCTGTGCTGCACCAGCTTCCTGCCTTCCTGCAAACACCGGGTCCACCTGCCCTGCACAGAGCAGGACACAGCCTGGAGAGCCAGGAAACTGTGCAAGGTCAGCACAGCCGGGGGAGGGGACAGGGAAAAACGTGTCACCTGCCTGGTCCTGCACAGGGGGCATTGCTCCCATGAGCTGGTGATGTTCATGGGACAGAGGAGCAAACCGGGGCTTGGATTTTTGGCAGTTGACTGAAAAAAAAAACACCCCAAAACCTCAACATAAAAATGCAGAGTTTCAGTTCAGAAAGAGATGGTAGTGAGAGAGCAGGGCTTGACCCATCCAGGGCTACTCTGAGCCAGCCACCCCTCAGGAGAAGGAAGGAACACCTCAGAGCAGCTCTGAGTACAGCACGGGGGGCTCTGCCTCCCCCTCAGCCGTGCAGGGCTCAGGCTCTGCCAGCAGCATTTGCAGCCTGTGAATGGCTCCAGAGCTGGGTGAGACACTGAGACACCACGGCTGAGCCCTCACACCAAAGTACAAACTGAAACCACCCTGGCAGTGCCCAAGGCCAGGCTGGATGGGGCCCTGAGCCACCTGGTCCAGTGGGAGGTGTCCCTGCCATGGCAGGGGTGGAACTGGATGAGCTTTACGGTCCCTTCCAACCCAAACCATTCTGGGATTCAGGGATTTATTTCTTTTCTTGTCATCTCTGTGCACTTGGCCTCCAACAGTCCATCCCAGGCTGTCCCTCCCCTGTTCCAGGAGATATTCAGGCACATAAAGCCACTGTAGATTTCCACATTTTCCCATCTCTGACACAGAAGCCTGCAGGCACAAATCCCCAAAGCTGGGGAAGCTGGGCTGGGGAGATGAGAGCAGCTCTGCAGGGCTGTGCAGCAGGAGCCACCCCAGCTTCCCAAAGTCACCTCTGCAGGAGGAGATCCCACTCCAGGCCCACTATCTCCAGAGCCATCTCCCAGCTCTGCCATGGGCAGCACTCAAGTGCTTCCCCCCCTCAAATTCCACTGCACCTGGGAAAAATGTAGGAGCTCGTAGGAGAATCAATAAATATTTATTGTTTAACCAGCAGTATTTTGACTGGAGATGTAAGCATGGCCCTGTGCCAGGGAAACAAGAGCCTTCTTGGCCAGCGCTGCAAACAAATTTTTGTCTGTATCTCGTTGGAAGATTATAAACTACACAATGAAAGGAAAAAAAAGAAACACAGGCAGCGAGCAGCTTAGTCACGGAAGAGGAACAAAAGAGCTGAGATGGATAACTGTGGCATGGGGTTACAAAAAAAAGGGCTGCAGGCCTGAATTTTGGCTGTGAGACAGCTGTGCTGCTCAGATCAGCTGCAGATTGTGCCACTGGCTTCTGCTGGGATGGGACTTGAAGCTGCACCAGGAGGCTCTGGAATGACTCTGGAATCCACCAGGAACTCCCAGCCAAAAACAAACCGGGGAGTCAGGGCTCAGCCTACATAGGCACAGCCTTGCCCCTGTGGAATACCCCAATTCCCACAGGGATCCCAGGCCCAAAGAACAGCAGGCCCTGGCTCCAGGGGAATTTTAGTGCTCAAATACAGCAGATCATCCCCTCCTTGTGCGCCTCCTCAGCATCCTGGCACACTCCTACCCAGCACAGGTGCTCCACCAAGCAAGACTTGTCAGCCTGGAGGGTGCCAGAGCTGCATCCTTTGGATCAGGGACAGCACTGACACTTGCTGTCCTAAATCCTGCCATTTCCTCACCTGGTGCCATGCAAGGACCAGCTGACAGTGCTAAAAAGAAAAGACTCTCCGGCCTTATGTAGGACAGATTTACTTGGATTTGTTCCCTTCTTCCCCAAAATCCCAGCGGATCCCAGTGCCACAACTGACAAGAGCCATTTAGGGTGACAGCTCTGCCAGCTCACATCCCTGGTGTATTCAGACAGTCTGGTCCTACTCACCTGAGGCTTTAATCTATGGAACAACCTGTGCACCCTAAGCCTGACCCAGCTGCCCCCAGCTCCTCACACAGCAGGATCCATTCCAGAGGAATGTGACTGTGGATTTCCACATTTTCCCATCACTGCCACGGCAGCCTGCAGTTCCACCCAGAGCTGGCTCCCAGAGAAGCCTGGGCTGCCCCATCCCTGGAAGTGTCCAAGGCCAGGTTGGACGGGGCTTGGAGCCACCTGGGCTAGTGGGAGGTCTACCAGGTGAGATCTTTAAGGATTTCAACCCAAACCATTCTGGAATTCTGTGATAATCCCGTGGCAAAGCTCAGTGTGCCACAGTCCCAGCCACTCGCTGCTTGCCTGCCAGCAATCTGCTCTGGATTTGGGAGTGCAGAAAGTCTTAGGATGTCTCAGCAGCTCCTTTGGAGAGCTGGAGTGCAGCATTCCAGCTGAGCCTGTGTTATCCCTGCATTCTGTAAGGCCCATCAAAGCATGGCACGCTGTAATTACATGGCAAATTAGGGGCCACTTCATGTAACGACACTGTAATTACACACTTGGTGCGTGCTTTGGGGAGCTCAGGATGGAAACGTGAAAGGAATCGGGTTTGCTCCTGTTCCCTGGAAATCTCCCCTCCCATATCCAGGTTAAAAACCAGGGATGTGCTTGGTGGATGTGTCCCTGAAGGACAGCTCCGTGAGCTAGCCTCTTTCCACCCCTTTTCAGAGCTTTGGTGGGAAGCTGACACTAAAAAACTTAAAGCTGGTGGCAGCCAAGTGCAGCCAGACCCCCCTCCTGGGAACCTCTCATTCCCGCATCCCGGCTGGATACCACAGTAATGGGCATTTTGTCAGCGCATACAGAGGTAATTGCTCTTCTTCAGCTGAGTTCTCACCTCCTCCGCAGGCAATCAGCACCGAAAATGCGAGAGCGGCCCCAAGCCCTCCACTGCTGAGCCTCAGCCTCGCTGCTGATCATTCCAGCCCACACAGAGCATCCCAGCCGAGCCCGGCTCTCACCTCGGCTGCACTGCAGGGCAAAGCATTCCAAAAGATGCGGCTGCGATTCCCTGCATCCCTGGAAACACCAATCGGTGCTTTCCTTTCCCCAGGCTCTGGCATCCTGTGCGTCCCCGGGAGCACAGGTGAGCGCCCTCCCAGCGCCAGTGAGGCAGAGGGGGACAGAGAAGGTGCCAGAGCAGGGAGGGAAATGCTGGGGCTCTCTCTTCTGTGTTTTACCCCGCACGGAAAGAAAACGCGGCCATGCAGGAGCCAGCGCCCATCGGCAGCAGGGAAACTGAGTCACACAGCAGCTGACACAGTTGGAGGGAGGGCTCAGCCCTGCGAGGATAACGCAGGATCAGACCTGTCTTTTTGAGAATAATGAGAATAATGTCCCAAGTCCCTGAGCACTTTTACCCCGAGCAGCTCAGCAAACTGACCCCCGTTGGTCGGGCTGATTCTGCTGTGACCCCATTCCATGACCTGGAGCCAGGGCTGGCTGCAAACTTGTCCTCCCAACACAAGGCAGAGGACAGAATGAAGGATCCCCCTCCTAAAACCTGAAGAAGGGGGATTTTCTTTGCCACTTGCCCGTGGCAAGGCTCTGTGGAGGAGCTCTGCGTTTGCCAGGCTCGCTTTAAATGTGAACTCCCGTATTTGTCTGTGCTGAAAACGAAAGCAAAGCCGGACCTGGCTGTGGAAAGGGGGAGAAGCACGATCCAGGCAGGTCCTGCATCCCAAAGCAGCTTCCCTGTACCTGCACCACCACAGCAGGAGAACCAGAACCTTACAGAGGTTTGGGTTGGAAGGGAAAATCTTGCTTCATCCCTAACTGATGCTGTCCCAAATCCTAAACAGAGGGAAAAGCTCTTGCCAGATAAAAACACACCCCTGGGATGCCACCCACGCACAGGCCAATGGAAACAACGTGTCCATGTCCCAGCTGTCCTCAGGGTAGGCATGGGAAGAGCCAAAAAGCCCGGATTTCTGTGCTGCGTGTGCACGGAGCAAATCCTTTTTCCAGGAACAAATCCCACCCTGCTCACATAACACACCTCCAGGGAAAGGAGGGCTGGATGTAGGATGGGGAGTTTGGCATCCCTGCTCCACCTGGGATGCCCAAGAACGACACCTGGGATTACAGCCCTGCTCTGGTACCTCGGGGGACGCAAACCTGCAGCTTCCTGAGCCAGAAATGAGCACTGGGAGCCCCAGTTCCACCCCCCAGCTCCCAGCAGGGCTGGAGGTGCTTCCCAGTCTGCCCACAGGCAGCAAATGCAGCTTGGCCGAGCTGCAGGAAGCAAAGTGATTTGTGGAGGGCAGTTCGTCAGCCCCCAGGTGAAGTTCCCTTGGGGTTGAATTTTGTGTGGTTTGGGGTTTTACTGTCTCAGAAATCGTCCCACCAAGCCATTGGTGCATCAGCCATGTATGTACAACCACAAGTGATGTTACCACCCTTCCATCACATCCTCCTAAGAATATTCACGCACATAGAATTGTGTCCTGAAGGAGAACCCACCCCCATGGGGTTCTGGCTCTGCCCTGCTCATCTCACTCACACATTCCTGCTGGTAATAGCGGGGCTGGAGGGGGAGGATTTGGCTTTGGAAGCTTTCTACAGCTCCACATCCCTTCCAGGTTATTTTTAAACCCTTTGGACACCACAAATCTCCCCGAAGTTTTGCAGGCAGAGGTGTGAGATGGAGCAGGGTTTGGTTTGGGGGGTGAGGGGACAGAGTTTCACGGGGCATCAGGCACCTGGCACATCAAACATCCTGCACAGCTGAAACCCTCTGGCTGCAGGGCCCTCCCTGCCCGAGGTTAACCCCCCGGATCACATTGGCACCGCTGCTTTGTGATGGGACAAGGGGCTGGAGTCCTTCTTACCCCATTTTGGACTTAAGGACGATGGGAACTTAGCCCATTTTGGAATTAAGGACGAATGGGACAAGGGGCTGGAGTCCTTCTTACCCCATTTTGGAATTAAGGACGATGGGAACATTTGGTGGTGGATTCAGGGCTGAAGGAACCATCGGGGAGCAGATGAGCCCTCCAGGAGCAGAGAAACGATGTTCCCTCCTCCCCTGGCTGGATCCCAGGAACACAACCCAGCAGCATCCATACTCCTTCCCTCACCATCAATCCCACCAAACCAGAAAGCTGCAGCTTTTTTCTCTCCGAGTTGGAGGGGAAATGAGGTTAAGCCAGCTAATTGACAGCGCTGACCTTTGTGGCTCCCAGCGAGCGCAGCCACCAGCACAGGAGCGGCTGCAGCTGAGGCCGATGGGGGGGCAGCGCTTTTCTACCTCTTGGGTTCGTGTTTTTCAGCGCTCTTCCTGCCCAAGTTTAAACTTTGGGTCAGCTCTAAGAGCATTTTGCTGACATCAGCCGCAGAAGAGCTTTCAGAGACAGAAGAAAACGAAATTAAGGCAGGATGAAACTCCGAGTCCTCCCTTCAGGCACCAGGGAATTCCACTGCTCCAGACACCCAGAGCCTCTGTGAGAGCTCTCACCCACCCCAGGAGAGTGCAAATTTTAACAGATACTTTACTCTGGAGTGAAAAGCAAACCCCACCCACCCTGATGGTTCAGGTGTTTATTCGTATCCCGTTTTCCTCCCCTCCGAACAAACAGGCTGCCCCCGGGGGCTGAAGGGAGGAATGAGTCTTCGCCAAAGTTTTAGGAAATAGGCACAAGCAGGTCCTCAGCTCCTCTCCAGCCTCTCATTTCAGCTGCGTAGGTGCATTCTTAGCATCCTTCGGGCACTTTGAAGCCTGGCGCTCGCCAGCCCACCCCGGGAGCCAGGCTCAGTCCTGCTGCCAGGGCAGGGAGCACTGGCATCCTCTGACCAGCACAGGGTGCTCCCTGTGGCCGGGGAGGGCGGGAGGAGGGATGCCGAGGGAGACTCCTGCGCTGGACACTGCGGAGCCCATGGACGGCTGATGGCCAGTGGGTGCTGCCTTCGGAGCTCTCTGCAGCCCAGCTGATGCTGCACCAGCATCTACTGAAGTCGAAGCACTAACCCCTGTGCGGCTCCAGCACTCAGCTGTCATTTTATTTCCACACGCAGCCCAAAATGCCAATGCCTGCGGGAGCTGTGCCTCCCTTCTGGCTTTCCTAGAAACTTCCTAACCGGCAGAGAAA